GAAAAAGAAAAACTCCTTCATTGGTCTACAATCCCCCCACACCCCCCAACCCGAGTATACTCCACTCTGCAACCCTCATTCCAAACTCTTATGATAATCATAATGCCCTAAAATGTATTACTTTTAAACTGTTCTCTCCCTCATTGGCTTTAATGCAGTATACATAATTTATCCAGTTTATCTCAGTCTCACCCCCACCCTGATGTCAGCCTCATTCTACAACCATACAGTGGCACCATACAATATTTGTCCTTTTGTGACTGAGATATTTCATTCAGCATAATGTCCTCCAGGGTCACCCATTTTGAATAATACTGCATGAGTTCCTTGTTTGTCAATGCAGCGTAGTATTCCATTGTGTGAATATACCACAGCTTCTCTATCCATTTGTTTATTGATGGGCTTTTGAGTTGTTTCCAACTCTTTGCTTTTGTGAACAAAGCCGCGATAAACATGGGTGTGCATATATCTGCTTGCATGTTGGTTATGGTCTCTTTAGGGTATATTCCCAGTAGTGGAATTGCTGGGTCAAATGGTATCTCTATTTGCAACTTTTTTTTTTTTTTTGCAACTTTTTGAGAAAGCGACCATGGCCTCTTCTAAACACAGCTTGCACATCTGGCAGTTCTTTGTTGACGTGCTGCTTCAGTCGTGTTTGATAATTTTCAGCAGGATCTTGTTTGCATATGATATTAATGATACTGTTGAGTAATTTCCACACTTTGTCGGGTCACCCTTCTTTGGAATAGGAATAAATATTGATCTCTTCCAGTCAGTTGGCCAGGTGGCTGTCTTCCAGATTTCTTGGTATACAACTTAGTGGTAAGAAACTATGCTGCCAGCCCAAGGGCACATGGTCTGAATCCAGTAGGTGTCTTGTCGAAGAAAGACAAGCAATCTCTTCCTGTGTGCATACTGCCTCTGAAAACCTTCTGAAAAATCAGCTCTGGGTCAGATCCAACTTGATGGTACACCACAGCAACAAAGCCAGTATGTAAACCTAGGTGAACTGGACCACACACAGCAGTAACACAGCAGGTCAGAGTCTTTGTTCTTTGGTTTGGCATCTTGGTTGTGGCTGAGATAAATTTTGAAGGAAACAGTTTAGATTTTCCTCCATTTTTTAATTGGAATTGAGAACTTGGCTCATATTCTTAATCCACTTTCCACAAAACAATCAACATTCACGAAGGTGCTGAAGGAGAAATGAGTTGCAGTTTAGTGAGCTTACTGTACCCACCTTGCCCCTGGCTTTCAGGGACAAAGCCAACTGGTAGGCTTCTGGTCAGCCCGGTTAGCATTACAGCCTGGTGATTGTCATGCACTGGGAAAGAGGGCATAGCATCCATGTAACACTTGGGTCAACAGTATTTGACACGAAGAAACAAGACAATCCAGATTATGGGATGGGCTACAAAGTAACTGGACTAGACTCTTCAAAAACGTTAGTGTCAGGGAAAGTAGGAAAAGAATGACCAGATCATTCGTGTACTGGAATAGATGAAAGGAGGATCAGTCTGAGATGAATAGATGATCAGACATTTGTGTATTGCAATTAACAATCTGGAAAAGAAAATGGGAAAAAAAAATCCCAATAATCTGGAACAGGATATATACACTATTGATTAAACTGGAGAGGGAGAGAAGAAAGGAAAAAAAAAACCCTAAGTAACAGAAGGTAGGTGAAAAGAATAACAATATACAATAAAGGTTTGCTTAGACATTGTAACAACAGCATCAACCACTTAATTAATGACTATTAGTAAAAAACCTCCCAAAATACAAACCCAATGTGATTTGTAAACTTCTACTCAAATAAAACACATTTACAATAAAATCCAAACAAAAATTTCAAGTGTCATGAAATGTAAGTAAAGCCTGGGATATAGCTAAATACAATGGTTGCTTGAGATTGTTCACAGCTTTAGTTTGATTGGCTCCACAGTCAACACTCTTGGCACCAGCAGCCAGGAAATTAAAAGGCGCATTGCCATGGGAAAGTCTGCTGCTAGGGACCTCTCCAAAGTACTGAAGAGCAATGGTGTCTCTCTGGAGACTAAGGTGCATCTGATACAGGCTATGGTCTTCGCAATCACTTGTTATGCATCAGAGAGTTGGACAATGACCAAGGAGGACAGGAGAATTGATGTCTTTGAGCTGGGGTGCTGAAGAAGAATATTGAGAGTACCACGGACTGCTAGGAAAACAAACAGATTCATCCTGGAAAGGGTTAAACTAGGTGGCTCCTTGGAGGCAAGGATTCTGAGGCTCTGTCTAACATACTTTAGACATGTTATGACATGCTTGGGAG